AGTGATTTTTTGGTTATTTTCATCCCTGTTGATGTCTGAAACTAGAGTTCATTTGTTTTTACTATAGGCATGAATGTACCACAATTTATCCATTCCATTCTGATGCACATTTGGGCTGTTTGCAGTTTTCAGCTATTATGCAGTGCTGTTGTGAAATTCTTTTCTTGTTTTTTGTCATGGACATTCTTGTATAGGTCTCCTGGTGCACGTTTGTGTGAACCTGGTGGTAGAAACACTAGAGTTTACTACATACCCACCAGAATGCCTAAAATTAAAAAGATTGAAAATATCAAGGATGTGGAGCTCTCATACATTACTGATAGGAATGTAAAGTGCTACAGCTACTTTGGAAAGCTATTTGATAATTTCTAGTGAAGTTAAACATCTGTCTGTCCTCTGACCCAGCAATTCCACTCCCAGGTATTTGCCCAAGACAAATGAGAGTATGTGTCCACCAAGAGACTTGTACGAGAAGTTCATGGTAAGGCTGACTGGTTGGCTCAGCTGGTAGAGTGTGATGCTGACAACACCAAGGTCAAGGGTTTGGATCCCCATACTGGCCAGCTGCCAAAAGAAAAAAAAAATTCATGGCAGTTTTATTCATAAAAACCAAAAACTGGAAAAAGCTCAAATGTCCGAACATGGAAAAGAACAAACTGTTGACATGCACAACAACAGGAACGAATCTCCAAAACGTCATGCTGAGAAAAAGGAGCCAGACACACACAGGTACATAATGTGTGTTTATATGAAGTCGGAGAGCCGGTATATCTAACCTCTGGTGGCAGAAGTCAGAAAAGTGTGGAGTGGAGGGTATTGACTGGCAAGGAGCAAAGGGAACTTTCTGGGGTAGTGGAAAGTGTTCTGTATTTTAAACTGGTTGGTATACATAGGTAAAAGGTCATCAAGCTCTATTTTGAAAGATTTCTGCCTTTTATTATGTATAAATTAAACCAAAAAAAAAATTAAAAAGGATTGTCCCAAGTAGGGGCAAGAGTCACCTGAGTGAGATTTTGGGGGAAAATGAAACACTATTCAACCGTGTTACTAGGGTTCAGCTTAAGCTTTAAATCTGCTTAGCATGACAGACTCACTGACTTTGTCATTCAGTGATTCTAATACCTCTGGGTGAGAAACCATGCTTTCCCACCCAAACCTGAGGAAGAGAACAGTCTCTGAGGATATCTATGTACATGGAAAGTCATAAAATAAATTAACCCAGGACAACTGAGGGAACTTTCTAGTTCCCCATTCTGTTTCCACATCATATTTTCTGTGAGAAAGATGGTTTTTAATTCCTTTTTAAAAAAAAAACTCTGGGGGACCGGCCTGTGGCTCACTCAGGAGAATGTGGTGCTGATAATATCAAGGCCATGGGTTTGGATCTCTATCTAGGGATGGCCAGTTAGCTCAATTGGGAGAGCCTGGTGCTGACAACACCAAGTAAGGGGTTAAGATCCCCTTACCGGTCATTTAAAAAAAAATTTTTTAATTAAAAAAATAAAATAAAATAAAAAATACACTGGGATATGCTCATTTCCATCTCATTAATATCAAATTATCTCCCAAAGCATTGTACCAGTTTCTGTTCCCACCCCTCGTGAGTGTCTGAGTGTTCTTAATACTCCATACTCCCTCCAAATCTTGGAACTGTTAGTTTTTCAAAAAATTAGCTCCGAGGGTTCGTTTTAAAGTATAAATCAAGGGCCAGCCCGTGGCTCACTTGGGAGAGTGTGGTGCTGATAACACTGAGGCCACAGGTTCAGATCCCTATATATGGATGGCCGGTTAGCTCACTTGGGAGAGCGTGGTGCTGACAACACCAAGTCAAGGGTTAAGATCCCCTCACCGGTCATCTTTTAAAAATAAAAAAAATAAAGTATAAATCAGGCTGTGACACGTCCCTCCTCAAAACCCTCCCATCAGATTCATAACAAATCCCAATCCCTCCCAGCTTGCCATCTGCATCCTCTTGCCTTGCTGGTGATCTTGTTATTCTTTTAACAGGCCAGGCAGGTTTCCTCCTGAAGCCCTTGCGCTCCTATTCCCTCTCCCAGCTCCCTGTGATTTCCCTGTTATGTCACTTTGTAATTGACTGTGGCCTTGTGTTTGCCACTAGACAGTAAGCTCCCTGAGGACAGGACTGGGTGTGTTCTGTTCCACACTGTGTCCCTCCCTGCCCCTGAGTATCTGTTGAATGAACACATGAACCTCTCCACCAGCCAGGTGGCCCAGGAATACTGGCCTGCTTCCCTTTGCTGGCCCTCCCTCCGGATTTTTTATATCAGGGTGTGCATGGGTTCTTGGTGCATGATCAGAGCAGCTGTGAAGAGGCGAGATCTCAGGCAGTGGGCCACCTGCGGCCATGGGGAATTCACAGGTGGAAATGGGTTGTGCAAGGGTCAATGCTGGGTGACTTCTGGGCTTTCTAGTGTATATCTAGGGGACTCTGGTGTTTTTTAGCCCATCTCTGTGCCTCCATTTGCTCCTACAACAAGTCGAGGAGCTTAAGCTCCCAGGAACAGCATGGCCATGGGGTTCCCAAAGCAGGGGACTTCATGAGCTACTCCACCTCTCTGCTCTTCCCAAACGTTGTCTAAAGTAGGATTTTCCTCCCCTTAACAGGCAGTGTGGGCTAGCTGGTTAGTTCAGCTGGTTAGAGTGTGGTGTTGAAACACCAAGGTTGAGGATTCAGATACTCTTATCGGCCAGCCACCAAAAGTAAATAGCAGGGAGTCTAGTTACCTCAGATGTCCCCTGCATTGATTTAGGATCCTAAGGAGTTAATGACTTCCCTGGTTGAGATGTTTCTTTTTTTTTTTTTAAAAGATGACCGGTAAGGGGATCTCTACCCTTGACTTGGTGTTGTCAGCACCACGCTCAGCCAGCGAGCAAACCGGCCATCCCTATATAGGATCCGAACCCGTGGCCTTGGTGTTATCAGCACCGCACTCTACCGAGTGAGCCACGGGCCGGCCTGAGATGTTTCTTTTGGAAGCCACCCATGCCAGCTTCTGCCCAGCCCCTGACTTCAGTGGCCACCATGGAACTGCCTACCCATAAGCCAGGTCTCCCCAGCTGAGGCTTCTTGCTCCCATCCCTTGTTCAACCTGCAGTCTCTGCCTCCCAGGGCCAGCCTCACTCATGATGACTCTCCTCAGGTCACAGGAAGCTGGGAGCAGGATCCTGCAAAACCAAGTTCTTTTCCTTAAACACGGCATGGAAATGGGCAAAGGGAGAATTGGAAGAGACAGTGACCTGGCTTCCTATTTCCAGATTGTTCAGCCAGAGGCCATGCCTAGAGTGTGATCTGTTAAATGGGTAGAGTAGAACATTGAAGAAGCACATCGGAGCCAACGCTACTGGGGTCTCTGGGTTAGAGCCAGGAGCCCTGGGTGAGGCATGTGGGTGGAGCTTCGCTCTTTACCCTGAGAAGCCCACTGCTGTGCCGTCCCTTCCCTCATCTCTGGACCCTGGGTACTGCAAAGAGCTCACAGGCTTCTTTCTATGCCCTGTGCATCACAAGTTTTGGAGCCTGATAGACCTGAGCTCAAAGCTCACCTCAACTCATGAGGTCATGACCTTGGGCAAGTTCTGTGAGCCTTTTCCCACCCAGAATAATATCCTCCTTATTGCAAGGTGCTAGTTCCATTCCCTGATGGCTTTGTGGTTTGCCTTGGCCCTAGAAATTGAGCTGCTATGAATGGAGGGGGCAGCTGGGTTTCTTGGATGTAGAGCCTAAGAGACCTTCTCTGCAACTGCTGATGGAAGCCAGAGGACCCTGGAAAGGCTGGCTGGAGCTTTCAGCAAGGAGTGGGTAGGGCTGAGCTGTCATGCTCAGGGGCCAGGTCAGAGCCAGGGCTAGCCAGATGGCGAGAGGAGATGGTGGGGGAGGTGAGGTGGCCAGGTTTACATGATTGTTCCCTGGAGTGGAGCCAGGGCTCATGGGCTCCAGGCTCAGCGTTCTTTCTGCCTCTTGCCTTGGCTCCCTTGCACCTGAGATGGATTCAAGTTCTTTCCTTAGGGATGGCACCCAAACTGGCAAGTGGCCTCTTCTCCCTGTTCTTGCCTGCTCGGGCAGCATAGGATCTCGGGCTGTCAGCACCATCAGGGACCCTGGAGTTCCTTTCATTCATGATATACAGAAGGTGGCAACTGCCCAGAGGGCTGGTGGGCGGTGATACTGAGCCCAGCAGCCAGTCCCTGACAGTCAAGTTCTCCTCTAACGCCAGAGTGGGAAAGATTGTTAATGGTTCACCGAGCTAATCCAGAAATGCCTCATCTATAATCTACACCGGAGAGAGAAGAGGGGTAGGACTAGGCCAGCCTCCGTGACAGTCAAGTTCTCCTCTAACGCCAGAGTGGGAAAGATTGTTAATGGTTCACCGAGCTAACCCAGAAATGCCTCATCTATAATCTACACCGGAGAGAGAAGAGGGGTAGGACTAGGCCAGCCTCCGTTCTCACCAGGAGGGGCTGCCCACAGGAACTTAGAGGCTCCAGAGAGTGCTATGTTGGGGAGTCAGTATTCACAGCCCCCTGAGGATCATCTCTGGGCCATTTTCTCTTGTGTTTCATGAAATTAACTGCATATAGCTGGACTAGGAACTTTCTAAATCTGGTGCTTCCAGGGACTTGGTACGTGCCTCTGGGGAAATCACTTTATCGTACTCCTTGTTTGCCCTCTGGCTAATTAGTGAGGATGCTGGGCTGATCTAGACATCTGAGGCCCAGGAGTTACTCAGTACGATGCTATCTGTGGATAGTTAGAGGAGACAGCCCTTACTTTTGTCTACTCTTTGGTTAAGTGGGTGTCTCCTCTAGCTGGTTTTGTCCCCTCTGGGACTTGGGGGCGGAGCTGAGGGAGAGCCTGTGTGCCTGTGTGATTTATCTGCACATTATTTTCCCTCTCTGCAATTTCAGGGTCATGCTGCGGCAGCCTGGCGCCTGACAAGTGAGGGGGAACCTGCCAGGGGATTACTGCTAGCGCGAGCTAACAGCAGGACGGCTGGCCTCGGGCGCGGGATGGGCAGAGTGGCTGCCGATCCCAGGCCAGCAGCACCGGAAAGGAGGCCTGGGGCCTGGCAGGGATCTTGGCACATGCTTGGCTGACCCAGACAGCATTGAATGCGGCACTCTGCTGTGGAGCAGCTGTGCCCAGCTCCAGAGGACCCCATAGCAGGAGCAGGAGCAGGAGCTTTGCCATTCCCTATGCAACTGCAATTGGGGTTGTGACCGCCAGAAGGGACCGACACCCCAAATGGGAAGCCATAGAGCAGAACCTACGCCAGGAGGATCTTGGTCTGTGCAGCGGAATTTTCTGACACCCACGGAGCTTCCTGGTTTTTTTCTTTCAGGGCTGGGGTCTGGTTCCCCTCCTCTGACAGAGGGGTTGGGCCAGGAGGGCCAACCAAGGTGGGAATGACTCTTGCGTGGAATCTAGGCCCTCTGAAGCCCACATGCTCTCCTTTGTGATCGGAATTCTAGGGCTTCCCTGCTGCAGGGGACGAGGGGCTGCCTCGGTGTCTGCTCATGAGCCACAAGGACCCCGACTGCTCCAGACTGGACTGTTTCAAGCCACCAAAGAGGGGGGCCCCCAGAGCTGGCAGCCAGCAATCCCAAGGGACTAGAGGACTGGGATGGACTGACCTCCCCCTCACCAGGGCGGTGGGAGAGGCAGATCCTCTGTGGCCCAGCTAGTGACAGAGAGACCTGATGAAGCCCTAATCAGGGACTTGAGCGGCTCAGGGACAGGGGAGCCACTCCCACAACGTGCTTTTATACGTGGCGAAGGACCCCTGCCACTGTCCCCTGCTGTGGCACAAGCCCTTATGCCCTTTGCACGTCGTGCCAGAGCAGGCAGGCTCCACTGTGGCTGGCCCCTCAGCGGGCTAGGAAACGAGTGGCCACGGTGACAGCTGCCCGCTTGCTGGCACCATGAAGTGCTCCCTGCGGGTGTGGTTCCTCTCTGTGGCCTTTCTGCTGGTGTTCATCATGTCCCTGCTCTTCACCTACTCACACCATAGCATGGCCACCCTGCCCTACTTGGACTCGGGAGCCCTGGGCGGGGCCCACCGGGTGAAGCTTGTGCCCGGCTATGCCGGCCTGCAGCACTTCAGCAAGGATGGGTCCGCGGGCAAGAGCTGTGCCTGCCGCCGCTGCATGGGCGACACTGGAGCCTCCGACTGGTTTGACAGTCACTTTGACAGCAATATCTCCCCTGTCTGGACCCGAGAGAACATGGACCTCCCCCCGGATGTCCAGAGGTGGTGGATGGTGAGAGCCATTGCCCCCCCCCACCCCCTACTGCCCCCTCCCCAGGGATCTACTCCCATTTGGAGTCACTCTCAGAGCCCCTTTTGGATTTGGGCTGTCTTCTGACCCCCAGAGCCTTGACAGAGTGTGAGACCCATGAGACCAGCGCCAGATTACTGAAGGGCAGAGTGAGCTGTGACCTGGAGAGAGAGAATTAGAATTTTCTAGTGCCTGTAGGAGCCGAGTGCAGACCAGAAACGCCTCTTGGGCCAGCAGGTAGCATAGCAGAGAGGAGCAGTCCTGCACGAGAGGATGGTGAGAAGTGAGGCCGTGGCTGTGGGGAGAAGCCTGCCAGTTAGAAAGGAGGCGCCACCCTCGGATCCAGCGTGGGCTGCTGTGCTAGGACACAGCCCATGCTGCTGGACCTCTGGCCTATTCCCAGAGCCCAGAAATCCAGATTTTTTAAACTAAATAATTTGTAAATGTTGGCTCAAAATAATTGTAAGTACCACAAGAGCCACTTGCTTGGTTCTTTACAAATTCTGGAAAAGACTTTCTCTTGGGTTGGGATAAGAAAGCATTGTAAACCCCCTCAGGGGTGTGAAAGTAAAGGGGATGGGCAGGTCCTCTCCATTCTCTTGGGTCCCATCACCTTTGTGCTTTCAATTCCCTCCACCTCACTCCCCAGGCTCTGCAGGCTATCTGGTTGCCACATGTGTCAGGGGTGGAGCAGTGTCAGTACTTAATCCAGCTCGCAGTCCCTAGTTTCCCCAGCCGGCAAATAGGGGGCATGATGGTTTCCTTTTTTTCTCACCTTCAAGGAAGCTATGAGGATGCACTCAAGTGATCGGGCTTATCAGAACAATCTTCTGGCCCGGACTGTCAGAGTACCCAAGGACCTGGGTCTACAGAGCCCTTCCCATGACAGCCTGGAGCCCTCGAACAGTCCTGCCTGTTGCTAGTAGTCAGGGCCTTCATTTTATGGGGAAAATCAAGGTTCAAAGGGTGCACAGCATTTGTCCAAAGTCACAGTCTCAGTGGTGGCCAGTTAGGGCCAGGCCTGGACTCTGAGCAGGGGTGGATGCCCAGTGGACAGGACAGGCCTCCTGCCCATGGGGATGGAACTCAGTGGCTGTTTAAGCTCCAAGCATGCTTCTCAGCCGGTGTTTCTTCCCTGCTCCCCACAGCCATCCCCTTTTGCCACAAACTTGGGAATGCTTGTCTCAGAGCCTAGTTCCCTCTTTAGACAGATCTACTGTCCCCTGAGCCAGTCCTGCTTGACCACCAACTCAGGGAGTCATGGCTCTGTCCACATAGCATTTTATTTTATTATTTTATTTTCATTTATTTATTTTTGTGACTGGCTGGTACAGGGATCGAATCCACATAGCATTTTTTTTTTTTTTTTTTTTTTTTTGTCTTTTGTCTTTTTCCGTGTCCGGCAACGGATCGCAACCCTCAGTGTTGCCCCCGCACCGGACCGGGGACCAGCAACGGGATCACAACCCTCGGTGCCTGCGTGGGAAGAGCTCTGACTGCCTCCCTTAGCCAGTCTAACCCGGTGCCCATCAGGGGTACGTGACAGGTGCTGTTCTCCTCGCTTGCATCATCATTCCTATTTTTTTAGAGAAGTGTCCCCTGGTGCAAAGAGATCCATGCCTCCTGTGACAACAACCACTTCAGTGTGATGTCTGGTGTGTGCAGTGATGCCTGCAGCATCTTTCGTTTCCATAAGCTACATCACCAATGGTGATTAAAGCCACCGATATGAATGTACAACCAATTTTTTTTTCTTTGCTGTTTAAGCAATATTCTTTCTAAATTCTTAACTGTTACAGGAATTTTCCTGCCACACCAGGAAATCCTGTTCCTGAGTGATATTGAGCAACTACCTTCTGCAGAGGATTTTGGTTTTTTTCTCGTTATTTTTTTTTTTTTTGTCTTTTTTCCGTGTCCGGCAACGGATCGCAACCCTCAGTGTTGCCCCCGTACCGGACTCATTCAGCATTTTTAAAATATTTGCATTAGTTACCAACATTTAGAAATCAGGATATTTCACATGAAATCCCAGTTTTCAGCTTCTCTTGAAAAATGAGACAATTTGGCACTTCTCGGCTCATAATCCCACATAGCAACAATTGGCCAAAGTTGCCCCGTTTTGATGGGGCACATGGTCTCCTGTCTGCTGTGGGCCCCACCTGCCACATGTGTGTTACCTGCCTGGCCATGAGCATTTGACTGCCAATATTTCACATGAAATCCCAGTTTTCAGCTTCTCTTGAAAAATGAGACAATTTGGCACTTCTGGGCTCATAATCCCACATAGCAACAATTGGCCAAAGTTGCCCCATTTTGATGGGGCACATGGTCTCCTGTCTGCTGTGGGCCCCACCTGCCACATGTGTGTTACCTGCCTGGCCATGAGCATTTGACTGCCGCCCCTGCCTCATGTCATGCATGGTCTTCCACCATCAGCTGGTTGGATTCCAGTTCTTTCTGGTGGTGGTGGGATTTGGGGAATCTTTTATTCCAGCCACTCTGGCTTTGAAAGAGTTTATATGCCTCTCTGCTCTTCCCCAAGGGCTCAAAGAGTAGCTCCAGGTATTCTGTGAATATTGCCCTGGATGCAGCTTCTGTAACCTCAGCGGGCAGGCTGAGTCCCAGGGCGCCCCCTGTAGGCTGATGTAAGGAGCCCCTGAAGGAAGTTGCTCAGCTTCATGGCACAAGCCTGCAGGGCCCTGGAGAGTGTATTGAATAGCACCTTGACCCTTGAGCACCCCCAAAGCATTTGAGCAGCTTGGTTACCAGGGCAGTTGGTCTCTGAACAGCAAGACTCACTCGGAACTGGTGACTTCGCTGTTGTTGAGAGAGGGGCAGGTCCTCACTGCTCCAAGAATCCCCACTCCCTGACAGAGCCCTGGATAAGGACATCTTTGTGGCTTGGACACTGAAGCGGGAAGGAGAGGGGAGGCCAGAGTCCCTCTCTCCTCACACCCCTCTCTTCTCCTGTACCTTCTCTTCCTCTCCCCTTCACAGATGTTGCAGCCTCAGTTCAAATCACACAACACCAATGAGGTGCTGGAGAAGCTGTTCCAGATAGTACCAGGCGAAAACCCCTACCGTTTCCGGGACCCCCACCAGTGCCGGCGCTGTGCCGTGGTGGGGAACTCGGGCAACCTGCGGGGCTCTGGCTATGGGCAGGATGTGGATGGGCACAACTTCATCATGAGGTGAGCCCTGCAGAGCCTCCAGCAGGGGGACCAGCCTGCTTAGCCTTGTCTGGCAGAGTAGGAGTTGCCAGCTGTCGGGGTGCTGTGGGACCTTCCCACCTTGAACCTTCCAGAACAGGCTCGGGTCTCTCTCCTTTGGAGTGGGTGGGGAGGCAGGATTCCAAATCTAAACTTTGCTTGAGGCCCACACTCGGTTTCCCTGGCTCCGAATTCCTCTGAAAAGAGCTAAAATTAGACTTCTGGCTGCAGTTTGGTGAATACTCCCACCAGGGGCCTTTCCTACCCACCTGGTCCCCACATCTGTTGGGCCAGTAGTGAGGGCCCCAAACCAAACTAGTACCTTAATAGCAACAGGTGAGTTTTGGGGCAGACTCATGGAAGACAGATGTCCTGAGCAGAAAAAGGAGCTGTCAGTGCCTGCACTGGGGTCATTCATTCCAGAGACATCTGTACCTAGCCTTGAGGAAAGGAGAGGGGCTAGGAGGGCGTTCAGTCCAAAGACAGAGCAAGGAAGGCCTGGATATGAACAGGAAGTAGAATGTGGACTTGTGACCCGAACATGGGCTGCTCCCTCTGCTCCTAAACCTGTTTTCTGACTTCCTCCCCTGACTTGGCTGGGGACAGGAAACATCAGTGTGGGGATCCTTCCACCCCACTCCTCAGGAGAGGAAGAGCCTTAAGAATAAAAGATACTGAAAATGCCTGGTTTTCACTAAGCATCTCTTAGGATGAGGATGCAAAGAGACCAGGTTTCCCAGGAGGCAGAAGGAAAAGCTTTGTCTTAGAAACTGTTGCTGTCACCATAGCAACAATACCAAGGCAGCAGTATGTCTCTGAGGCTTTCAACATTCCTTGCAAGACCTTCCTCATGTTGGGAGATGGTAGCAGGGGTGCAGGGGGAGGAGGAGGATGCTGGTCCCCATCCAGGACCCCAGAGCCACCTGAGATTATCCCCATTCTCTAATTGCTAGCCCCCAAATGGGAGAGAAGCAGGATGGAAGCTGGAGAGTGGCCTCTATCCATCCAGAGCTAGTGACTGAGATTGGGAAATGAGGCATGTATCACTCCACTGCAGCCCTAGGGCACTTGGGAAGCCCAGGAAAATGCTGTCGGGTGCCTGAAGTGCCTGCCTCCCTGGCCACCTGCACCAAGCTAGAGCTTTCATTAGGAACTTCAATGATGGCTAGAAAGCTCCAGGGTAGAACGCCTGCACACCAAGAGGTCTGGCTGCTTATGACACCTGGATGGCACCCAGTCAGGCCAGGCTGCAGGGAGAAATTCAAAGATGCTTTCTCACACAGGCCAGGCTAGGAGATACGGTGCTTTGGAGTAGACCCCAGGATCATTTTCCAGAAGGGTGGCCCAGATGGTAATTGGCTGTCTGCTGGTCTCTATAAGGAGCTGGGTGGCAGTGGAGGTGACTCTGCTTGTAGGCATATCTTGGTTTGGAAGCCATGGGAAGGCCCCCCATCCTGGAAGCAGGACCGATGCAAGATCCCACCAGGAGAGCTGAGCAAGTTGCAATGAGATGATGGCTCTGCCCTCCTGTCCCCCTGCCCCCAGCTGCCTCCTCCTCCTGCATGTCATCTGAGCCCTGCTAGGACTACTGTAAATGGAGTTGAGCTGTTCCTGCCTTAGCTGGCCAGCAGATGCATGCACAGCTCCTAGAACAGTGCCTGCTAGATGGTAGGCAGGCCATGAGTATGTGACTTTATGAAAGGGACTGGCAGCCAGATCCAAACCCTCAGAGACTATAGAAGATGTTTTGGGACCTCTTGCTCCTTTCATTCCCATATGTGTGAATCTGTTGCCTGGCCAGCCAGTGGAAAGGCCATGAGGGAGGTGCAGGCTCTGCAGCAGGGCTGCCAGCAGGTGCAGGGGGCAGTGTGACCCTGGCTGACAGGTCCAAGGAGGGGCTTCATGAAAGCTCTGGCTGCTGATTCCATGGAGAAGGCAAGTGCTAGGTCTTCAGAAGCCAGCCTGGGGCAGCTGCAGCCTTTTGGTCTGCAGGGCCAGCTTGGCCTCTCATCTCTGGTGAAAGGAAGTTTGTTAGGTCCTCACAAGAGTGCACCTTGACCCCAGCCCCTGCCCAGCCCAGGCCCCAGCCAAACTGAGTATCACCAACTTGGTTCTTCCACCTCCTGCTGACCCCTTTTCATACCACAGGCAGCTGTGAGACATTCCCTGCCGGCTCTGACACCATCCCTCTTAAGGCTTCTCCAACCTGCTCTGTTCCTCACAGACCCTGGAGAGACTTGGGAGAGGGCAGATCCAGACTGTGGCTTCGGTGACTGTGGGGCATCAATGCCTGTGTGTGGAGCTGTAGCAGCCCTGCAAACTGTTAAGAGTTACTCATGGGTGGGAAAAGATACTTCTCGGCTCTCCTAGGAAACAGTATCTCTGAACCCTAATGACCAGGAGATTGGAGGGGCAGTTTGTATAAAGGCATGGATTTACGGTAAGTAGGCAGGATCTAGATCCCTGTTCTGGGGACAGAGCATGGTAGGTTCTGTAGGGAAGATTCTAGGTGATTACTTGAACCAGACTAGAACTAAAGTGGTTAAGAACAAAGACTCACTATCTGGGCTTTCTGGCCTCCCCCCGAAAGCACCCTCCAGTCCCTCAAGGGAAGGGGAAAAAAAGAGGTAGGAGTCACAGCAGTGTGACCTGCAGGGGTTGGGGCATCGTGCATAGCACAGCCCCTGGTCCTCCTCAGTCCCATCACTGAGTGATGAGCCCCTACAACACAGGAAGTCTTCTTCCAGCCAGCTAGAGGGTGCCAACCACTGTAAGGACAGGGAATGTTTGCTCTGGTTTTACAGAACTGGCATAAAAAGCTGGGAAAGGCACATGGAGTCTCCGCTCCCTCCCTTCTGGGTCCCTTTGTCCCCAGTGGGTTATAGTCACCCCACCTTGGTAGTCATGATTCCTTAAGGTGGTCCACACCACACAGGAATGTTCTCATAATCAGTCATAGCAGAAAAGACCAACAGGTTTGTGTTTAAAGCTGGTTCACCTGTTATGTAAGATGCTTACCCAGAAAGGGAGCTTTGACTTTAATTATCCTGTATTTTGCACAAAATGAAAGGAAGTAGAAGCCTTTTCGGCCTGTTTCACCCAGGGAGATGGGAGCCTGCACTCACTTGGGTTTCCAGACAGTGGTGAGGGTCGGCAGGCTGCACGTCACCAGACAGACAGCCCAGGGCAGACACTCAGAACAGGGGCCATTCCTCTTGGCCTTGGAGTGGAAACGCAGACAGGGACTTAAAGTACAGGAACAGGGTGGCCAGGGGTGACAGAATAGAGGCTTCTGTCCAGCCCAGGGTCAGGGGAATGCTTGAACTTCTTACCTTGCTTTCACTGTCTTCTAGGAAAGAAGGTAGAACAGCCAGGTGAGGTGTAAGCTGTGGAGGGCTGTTCTTTTCTTTAAAAAAAAAAAAATTATAAAAATAATATGTACTTGTCATTAAAAAAAAATGTATATAATCCAAACCGAGTTAATCTTCCCAATCCCATTCCGAGAGTAACTATTGTTCACAGTTTTAATATTCTTCCAGATTTTTTTCTATTCATATACAAAAGTATCATTTTTTAAATTTTTTCTTTTCTGTGTTGTAATTTCTTCCTGCTGTACATGGTAGGTACAAAAAAATATGTATTAAAAGTAGTGGGATGCTTCACACCACTTGATTTTTTTCACTTACTAGCTCTGGGATTTATTTCTTACCAGCCCTTGTAAATCTGCTTCATTCCTTCTGATGGCTACAGGGTTTTCTATCACATGAATGTGCCACAGTATATTAGCCAGTTCTTTATTGCTTGGTTGGTTCTACTTTTTAATATTGTAAATAATACTGCAGTGAATATCCTTGTACATATGTCTTCGCATACCTGTGCAACCATTTTTATAGATTTCTAGAAATGGAATTCCTGGATTCAAGTGTATGTTCATTTACTTTTTTTTTTTTTTGGCAGCTGGCCAGTGGGGGATCCAAACACTTGACCACGCTCTAACCAACATAGCTATGGCCAGACCCATTTACACTTTTGATGGATAACACCAAATGGTCTCCTAAAAATCTTGTACCAGTCTCCACAGCAGTTTCTTCTCATGTCATCCTCTTGTCCCTGCAGGATGAATCAGGCGCCAACTGTGGGCTTTGAGCAGGATGTTGGCAGCCGAACCACCCACCATTTCATGTACCCCGAGAGTGCCAAGAACCTGCCTGCCAACGTCAGCTTCGTGTTGGTGCCCTTCAAGGCCCTGGACCTGCTGTGGATCGCCAGTGCCCTGTCCACAGGGCAGATACGATTGTGAGCCTCTTTGCTGGCTGGCAGGGGAATATGTGTGACAGGACCACCTTGGGAGGAGTCTTCCCCAGGGACCGGATCCTAGAATTCCTTTAATTGAACATTTTGGCCACAAGGGGCTGGTGAGGAGGGAGGGCCCCAAATGGTGGGTTAGCTGAGGGCACAGCTTATTCTTTGTCACTCCCTGCATGGTGCCATCCAGCATACTGATGGTAGAAAGGTGAGGAACTTTCTTTGGGGAAAGTTGTCCCGTCATAGCTGGGAACTGTGGGAAATCCAATTCACCAAGTATTTTTCTTTTTTTCTGGGCAGCTGGCCATATGAGGATCCAAACCCTTGACCTTAGTGACACCTCACTCTAACCAACTGAACTAACCAGCCAGCCCACCAAGTATTTTTCTTAACAGCTTTATTGAGATATAATTCATATACCATACAATTCATTCATTTAAAGTATACAATTCAATGACTTTTAGTATATTCACAGAGTGAATATAAGTAGAAACCATCACCACAATTAATTTTAGAACATTTTCATGTTCTATAGATCTTTAATCTAAAGATAAAGATCTTTTTTTTTTTTTTTAAAGATGACCAGTAAGGGGATCTTAACCCTTGACTTGGTGTTGTCGGCACCACGCTCTCCAAAGTGAGCCAACCGGCCATCCGTATATGGGATCCGAACCCTTGGCCTTGGTGTTATCAGCACCACACTCTACCGAGTGAGCCACGGCCCATAACTTATCTTTGACTCTTTTTGCATTTTGTATAACAGATTGCTTCACCTCTTAAAGATCTAAGGGGCTGGCCAGTTAGCTCACTTGGTTAGAGTATGGTGCTGAGAACACCAAGGTCAAGGGTTTGGATCCCCTTACTGCCCAGCTGCCAATAAATACATAAATATCTAAAGATAACCCCACACCCCTTAGCCATCTCCCCTACTCCACCCACCCCCCAGCTCTAGGCAACCACTAATCTACTCTGTTTCACCATGTATTTATGTTGTGTAGTAAAATATACGTAATACAAAATTTACCATTTTAACCATTTTTAAGTGTATACTTGAGTAACATTATGTACATTCACTGTTGTCCAACCATCACCACTGTCCATCTACAGAACTTTTTCATCATCACATATGGAAACTATGCACATTAAATAATAGCTCCCCAGTCCCCCTTTTCTTCTCATCCCTTAGTAACGTCTATTCTACTTTCTATCTCTACAATTTGACTATCCTAGGTGACTGTATTAGTCTGTTTTGTGTTGCTATAACAGAAATAAATGCGACTGGGTAATTTATAAGGAAAAGAGGTTTATTTGGTTTATGATTCTGGGACAGCTGCATCTGGCATGGGCCTCAGGCTGCTTCTACTCATGGTGGAAAGTTGTAGGCAGCTGGCAGGTACAGGCAGATCACGTGGCGAGAGGAAGCAAGAGAGAGAGAGAGGGGAGGTGCCAGGGTCTGTTAAACAACTAATAGAGCGAGAACTCACTCATTCATTCCCCCTCCCCCAGGGAGAGCATTAATCCATTCATGAGGGATCTGCCCCCATGACCTAAACTGCCACATTGGAGATCAGATTTCCATGAGTTCTATGGAGGACAATACATCCAAACTCCATCAGTGCTTCATAATAGGTGGAACAATATTTGTCCTTTTGCGTCTGACTTATTTCACTTAACAATGTTCTTAAGGTTCATCCATGTTGTAGCATGTGTCAGAATTTCATTCTTATTTTTGGGTGGCGGGCCAATATGGGGAACAACCTGTGAACTCAGGGGTTAGAAGGCTGCACTCTAACCAGCTGAGCTAACCGGCAGGCCCGAATTTCACTTTTTTTTGTGTGTGTGACCGGTAAGGGGATCACAACCCTTGGCTTGGTGTCACCTGCACCACGCTCAGCCAGTGAGCTCACCGGCCATCCCTATATAGGATCCGAACCCGCAGCGGGAGCACCTCTGCGTTCCCAGCACTGCACTCTCCCGAGTGCGCCACGGGGCGGCCCAGAATTTCACTTTTTTAAGGCTGACTAGTATTCCATTGTATGTATATATCACATTTTGTTTACCCATTCATTGTCAAAGGGCATTTGGGTTGTTTCCACCTTTTGGCTGCTGTCACCATGTACTTTTTAAGTTACAGTTTCCTGACTTAAGGATGTTCACTATCTTATGTTTGGGAGGCCTGAGGGCTAAAATAAGCACTGTAGATTTGAAGTACCATAGATACTCAGAGAAGGGAGTGGAGGTTCCAGGAGCCATGGGTGGCTAGTAGAGAAGTGGGATTATGCTAAACCTGTGGGGAGTAGGGAGAGGGGCATCCTGGGCAGAAATAAGAACACAAACAGGTGATCGGCTAACTTAAGTGGAGAGTTTACAGTAGAGAGTTGGGGGAAGAAGGATTGGGGCTGGATTATGGAAGGCTCCAGCACTTATCTAAAACATCCCTATTTTGTTCTTAATGATATGGGGAGCCATTGAAGGCTTTTGAGCAAGGTAGTACAGTGTGAACTTACTGAGGGAGAGCAGTCTGGAAGCTTTGAGGCCGTCATCACTCAGGCCTGAGGGGGAGGAGAGGCACGTCTGGGTCTCACAGGGCCATCTGAAATATTAACTTTCTGTCCCCTTGTAGCACCTATGCACCAGTGAAGTCCTTCCTCAGAGTGGACAAAGAAAAGGTAAGCTCCCCACCTCCTTCCCCTTCCTCATCCCTGCCTCAGTGTGATCAGTGCTGGCCTGACACGTGGTGTGCCCCAGTGCTCTTCCAGAACCTTCAGAGTCCCCATCTGCCAGCATGCCCGACCCCAGCAGGGGCCACAGGAACCAGGGAATATAGATGCACAGGTCTGCTGACAGGCATAGAGGAACTGGCAGAAGCTGCTCAGGGCCTGTCCTGAGTCTCCAGGCCCCCAAACCCCTCATGTGCCTGTTACCTCTTCTCCCAGGTCCAGATCTACAACCCAGCCTTCTTCAAGTACATCCACGACAGGTGGACGGAGCATCATGGGCGGTACCCTTCCACAGGGATGCTGGTGCTCTTCTTTGCCTTGCATGTGTGTGATGAGGTGGGTAGGCCCCAGTGTGGGGGAGAAACAGTGGGAGCCATGGGGTGGAGGGAATGCAGCCCTTCCCAGGACTTAGCAGTGTCTCTAGAGAAATGAGTTTTTGTAGGCACAAGCTATGTGGCTTTGACTTCCCCCATTTTTAGGCTGTAAAATATAGATCTGCATTTCCCAATTATTACTTTCATGCTTTTACCAAATCTGAAATTGCTTTATTAAAAAGTTTAATTCTGTATTGGCCAGCCACCAAAAGAAAAAAAAAATTTTTTTATAAAGGAAATAGAATACTACTACCATAATTGATATCACTTGCCATAAAGAAAAACTTAACTAAACATGAATGGAATGGAAAGAGTATAGTTAAATTTCAGCTGGATGGTTGTCCCACAGCTCTGAGCCCCAGGCCTACTCTCTCTCTGTGCTAAAAATGGAGATTAGTCATTCAAAGAGCCTAGGTTCAGCAGTGGCCAGGGGACTGTGCCTTAAAGGACAGGGCTCATGCCCAGCACACCCACTTCTGCCAGTAAGTTCGCTGTGCTTGAACAGCTTGGAGTAAAAGTACTCCATTTCAAAAAAAAGAGGAAGTTAGCAAGGGCAGGAGAGGAAGGAGAATTGAAAGGGGAACAGCGTCTCCCGTGCGAGTCAGGATCCTTATGCCAGGCCTGGGTGTCCCCTACGCTTCCCGGTGCCTCCCGCACTCAGGGAACTGATGAGCTGTCAGGCTCCCGGGCCGTCGTGCTGTCCCAACCTCCCCTACCACGACCCGAGCCTTCTCGCGCCCGGTCCTCCGCGGTCCCTGACGCGCGCCGCCCTCCCCGCAGGTGAACGTGTACGGGTTCGGGGCCGACAGCCGGGGCAACTGGCACCACTACTGGGAGAACAACCGGTACGCGGGCGAGTTCCGGAAGACAGGCGTGCACGACGCCGACTTCGAGGCCCACATCATCGATATGCTGGCCAAGGCCAGCAAGATCGAGGTCTACCGGGGCAACTGAGCCGGGCCCGCCGCGACCCTCCCTTCCTAACCGCGAGGCATGCGCGCGCTCCCGCCGGGACTCTGGGCCAGCCCGGGGGCGGTGCCAGGCAATCAGGAGCGGCGCCGGGCCGCGGCTGGGCCAATCATGCTGCGGTCAGGCGAGCGCCGGCTGTCCTCCGCCAATCACGAGACTCTGGGGGTCGGCCCGGGCCTGCCACCAATCAGCGCTGCAGTCGGGCGAGGCTTTGTTTCTCCCTGCCAATCATGCGATTCAAGGGGAACTTCCGGCGTCGAGCCCGTCTCCTCCAATCGATGGCCTTCGGAGGCGGGCCGGTGGCCGCTCATCCGGCTCCTCTTACGCTTTTGGACTGGATTTTGTTATACGCTTTTTCAGAAGTAGAGGTGGGTCTGCACCTCGATGAAGTACGTTTCTCAGTTGTTTCTCCCTGCCAATCATGCGATTCAAGGGGAACTTCCGGCGTCGAGCCCGTCTCCTCCAATCGATGGCCTTCGGAGGCGGGCCGGTGGCCGCTCATCCGGCTCCCCTTACGCTTTTGGACTGGATTTTGTTATACGCTTTTTCAGAAGTAGAGGTGGGTCTGCACCTCGATGAAGTACGTTTCTCACGCCCGACGAGAGCAGCGTTCTGGTCGCTGGCTGGGGCTGGGCGGGGCTCGCGGATGGGCGCCGAGTGGCCTCGGTGGGTCCCGGGAGCGCGCTTCCACCCCGGGAGGAAAGCTGGTGTCCCCCGTGCCGCCCAGGCCTCCGGGGGAGTTTCAGACTCCGCTTTCCCTTCTCTGGCAGGCCTGATGGGTGAGTGTAGACCCGCCAAAGAAATGTAGTCACGGTGACGGCCCGGAGGGCGCGTGTGTCCTCCCTCCTCCCCTCCTTGCCTTCGGCCACCCTATGGAACGGCCTCTCTGACCAGGGCATTTCGTGTCTCACCAGAAATCTAGGGAATTGCATCCCCCCTTGCTCGGGGGTGGACTTCGCCTAGGGCCTAACTCCGCAACGTAGACGTAAGGAACATGGCAGGGGACAAGGAAGCCCTGTCACATCGAATGTAAGGTGCTTGTCACTCACGTGTGCCCTCGACCCCTGCTATTCACCCACCACCTTTCTAGTGTCTCTCCTTAGGCCCTGAGCCTCCTCACCAGCCTACTTGTTACTTGTTGCTCTGGGAAAAAAATCAGAAAACTTGCACTGGGGCTTGGGGCCCTCTCTTTGCCTCTCTCTCTCTCTCTCTCTCTCTCTCTCTCTCTCTCACACACACACACACACACACA